TAGAAATGAAGTGTTTCTCAAACCATTGATATACAGTCTATAATATTTTCGGCGATATTCATCTTCATATCGATAAAACTATATTTATATGTGATATCCAATTACAGTGAAAGAATCAAAAAGGGTAAACTGCTAATTCATGTCTAGCTATAATGATCATAATAACAACTTTCACTTGGTCTTTGCTCCTTTGTAAACAATATTGTGATGATCGTTCGAAGATCTTGGAACTCACGGGAATGACAACGGAGTATCTTACCATTACTACTACTCTTACTCATGCACAACTTTATCCTCACCCTCACCCTTCCAATGTTGTATCAAAGAAATATTTACATTGTAAATTCAAAGATTATTTATTATAAATCATTAATATAAATTCTTTTACACTTCAAAATTGATAATTCATTGTTAAATCATTCTAAACAAAAAAAGATTTTGTTCAACTTACTTTGTTTTGAATGCTTTCCATTACGATTGAATTGATATTTAAGATTAATTTGTTCGAATCAATAGTTATTGTTGAATTATTATCAAGAATATTTAACATAGAATTTAATATCTTATTTCCTTTATAACAATTCTCATAACTCTTTCAAGAGACTTGAATTTATCGATTAAAAGAAAATAGAGATAAATCTCGCAATGGAATAGTAACGGTTCAATCTATAAGAATAGGCATTATCCTATTAGATGAGAGTAGAGGACAAAGGTAGAATGAAAGAAGATATTTATATAGCCTAAAGAAAAATTCGAAACGCATCGCTTCAAATCTATTGTATTTAAAATAAAATTAAAATAAATAAATTCAAAAAAATCTTTACTTATTCTATTCGTTATTCTTATTCATTTCAATCCAAAGGTTCGTTTTCATTTTCTTATTAACTTGCTTCTTCTCCATTTCAGCTCAACTCATTCATTTCTCCTGTTATTTACCCAGTGGTTTACTCATCCATATGTGTATTCATGTAATTCAATCCATTTATTCGCTTATTTTCTTTACTTAAATATTAAAAATTAAACAAAATTAAAAACTTACAAAAAAATTCATCAGTTTTTTGTTGATTTTCTTTTACTTAGCCCTCACTCTCAAGATAAACAGCCTACGTGATTTTTTTTTCGATTTTTTACGTGTTTGTGGTGTATAAACAAGTAATAATTACTCACAACGCATCACATGTGACTATCTGTACATAAACATGGTTGAATGAAAAAGAAAAATCGCGTTAGTAGGTCAAAACAGAAAATAATTCATGCGTAACAAGAGAAAAAAATAAGAGAGACGAAGCTATAAAAATGAATACTTCAATAGCAAACTGTATACCATTTTCAAATCATTTTTTTTCGTTGAAACACGTAAGTAAGTTGATCATATCTTTTTTCTTATACAATACAAGTAATAGTTTGAGCGCAAATAGTCGGTTATGAATAATTGTATTTGAAATACAAGAGTAATGTAAGTTGAGAGATACACCGTGAGCGTCTACGTTATTCGTTTCATTACGTTTGCTATGTTATAAAGTGATTTAATGTCTGTAGTTGACCTACTTTCGATAGAGTCGTGTAGTGCTAAAAAGCACTCTAGTCTTTTCTATGTTTTCTATTTTTATATTCGTCGAATGTTAATGTATTCTTGTCGATAGTTTTTTATCAATATATTGTTAGTTTGATATCTCTATTGATAAAATGAATTACAATAGAGTTGTTGACATAGTTCTGTTGTCACTTAAACTTAATATCCCAAAAAGAAAAATAACCTTTCTAAAATCAATCTTATTCTTGTCTCAGTAAATAATATATAAGAAGACTTAGCATTACAACATTCATCTAACATTCAAATGAATTCTAGATACAAATAACAAATTTGAAAATACTTTTAGTTGTACAAGAGTAATCAACATGCATCATAATCATACTTCTTCCCCTATTCATTTTTACGATCTTGATAAACCATATGGTGAGTTTGGCAACTTTTATCCTGCGCCTATTCAACTCGATGGATTTATCTGGCCTACTAACGAACATTATTTTCAAGCACAAAAGTTCGCATATGACATAAATCGTGTCATACATATTTCACAACTGTCCACGCCTCGAGAAGTCTTTGACTATGCTCAATACCATCGTTCTGCAGTACGATCAGATTGGGAGAATATTAAAGATCAGGTAATGTTTAGAGCATGTATGGCTAAATTTACGCAGCATCCACAACTTAAATACATATTATTATCAACTGGACATCGTACTCTAGTTGAACATACTAAAAATGATTCTTATTGGGGTGATGGTGGAAACGGAACAGGTCAAAATCGTTTGGGATTTACCTTGATGCAAGTTCGAGAAGTCATCAGATAATATCAATAGCAATAATGTGACTATAACACAATCAAAAATGATTCTTTCATAAATGCATTTCAACGTCTAATTTATTCCGAACAATACTATTTTGAACTTTCTTTTTTTCTTTTGCATTATATCAACAGGCTTCAAAAATATAAGTATAATAAAGACGGCATCAGTTTGATCTTGTTCTTCGGTATTCGAAGAAAATCTTGAGGGCGTGGGTGTGGTTGAATAGATACATAAATAAAGGAAAGAGCTGTCTATTCATTCATCGGCACCTACATCTACGTCCACAACTCGTCTGCAGATAATTCTTGTGATTTTATATCAAAAAAAATATTGAAGTCATTTGAAAAGTCCTTCAACTTGGAGAAAAAATATCATCGTAGCTATCTACACATCTTCTCCCTCACAAATACAACAGATTTAAAGCCAACTGATGAGTAACCTTTTCAGGGATATGAAATCTGAATCTTAGAATTCTGAGAATCACTCTCAAACTGTGAAATCTTATACGTTTAACTAGTTCATTCATGAAAAAAAATACAAATGAACAAATTTATTGAAAGTCATGATGCGTTTTATGTTACATAGTAGGGACTGTAATTCATTTCATCATGAAAAGAAAAAAATGGCGTATATGTTGCTATATTAGATAAGAGTCGGTAGAAGAAGAATATTCTATTCAAACAGTTAAACGACATCCTTTTTATCTATTATCTCAACGAAAAATTTCCAACAGCCAGCTCACGTCACTTGTATAAAAGACGACGCATATTTTGTTTTTTTTTTTATTTATTTAGGCAGAATGAGACTGACGACCTTAAAGGTCCTTACAGTACATGATTGAGTTAGAAGAGAGAGAAAGAAAATAGAAAAAAAAATAGTATAGTTTAGTATATATAAATATGAGAAGAGTAGCATTAGACAGTAACAAAAGAGGTACAAAAACAAAACAGATCAACACAAAGAGGAGAGAAACAAGAATATGTAATACATAGTTACATATTTGTTACAACAACAGTAACAAGATCCAAAGAAGAAGAAGACAAGAGGAAGGAGAAAAGAAAAAAACTTCAGAACGATTCAGGGAAATCGGCCAAGGTCATGACATCATCAATATCATAGTTGATGGTGGAATGATTGGGGGGAATACTTGCGCACCACGTAGCGCATTTTTCCAAAACAGAGGTGTGGCCGATGAATCTTTTAGTTCTATGAGTACCCTTAACTGGATATTTATTCTTAAGCCACTGTTCCCGGAAGAAATTGACGTTAGCTAATTCGAAAATTAGTCTACCATCAATCGTATCCGACCAGGCTTCGAAATACTTTTCGAAGTAGTTTTTACAGCGGTCTTCAAGGGATTTTTCATTGAGACAGAACGCAAAAAGATCATTATTAATGTGCAGGGCATAGAGAACTCTACGAAGGCAAACGAAGTAGAAGTGGTTCAAGTCTTGTTGCTGTGTTTCAGTAAAGAGTGGGTACAAGGGAAACAACCATACGAATAGAGGATAGACATAAGAGAAGAAGAGGATTTTGCGTAGAGAAGGGGAGGTCCTACGAAAAAGCCTAAATGAGTTAATTTGAGCAATTCGTTGTCTAATCTTGAGCTTAGATTGCTCAATCATAAGGCCGAAACCTAACTTGGGCGTGACAACGTAACCAAGATATTTTAACTGATTTGTCCAATTGATGGGATGTTCACCACAACGCAGATCAAACTTAGGATATCCGGGTACTCTGGATGAAAAAATAGCCTGTGTCTTATTGTAATTTAACGGTTGAACCGTTAAAACAGAGTAAAATTCTAACTGATCAAAGAAATATTTGAGTTTCTTCTCGAGATTTAAACATTGGAGCGAGTACTTCAATCCAATAGAACCGGCTAGAACAGCTGCAAGGTCGTCAGCGAACATAAAGCTCAAACATGAACTCAGATATTCGCACATATCGGAATGATAACAGATAAAGAGAGTCGGAGTAAAGATGGACCCTTGAGGTCCACCTCTGAAAATATTGAACCACCTCGACCGCTTACCACAAATCTCAATGAAGGCACGCCTATCCCTCAACCATGTGTTGATCCAAATCCGATAAGCCCTAGGAATTCCTAACAATTTCAGTTTGCCAATACAACCATCATACCAGAGAGCATCAAACGCGCTCTTGAAATCCACGAAAACGGATGCTACTGGACAACCATTAGACATCAGACTACGAACTTGATCAAAGAAAAGAAGAACTCTAGTTTGTAATCGGAATTTCGAACGAAATCCCGATTGGGCATCGGGTAGTAGTCCACGTTTTTGCAGGACTTCATTAAACCTTGTTAGGAAGATCTTTTCGTTCACTTTGAGGAAACAATCGATAAGTGATATAGGGCGCGTAGCATCAGGGCTGCAAATATGATCTTTTTTAGCTAATAGCAGAACACGAGAATCTTTCCATTTGGAAGGAAAGATACCATGCAAGAGAGAATTATTGAAAATCTTAAGTAATAACGACCAGTACATAGGAGGAAGGAAGCTAAACATGTGATTAGATAAACCGTTTGGATCTAAAGATTTCTTTTTCTTGCGAGAACGCACAATTTCCAACACCTCGTTAAGCTACATATAGGTATGGCCTCATCTTCATTATCCCAGTCAGCTCTGCAAGGAATATCAGTATATGGATGAGGACGATAGACTTCGGGTTCGCTAAATAGGTTTTCATAATAATCAGCTGCCACATCACTCATCCTTTGAGGATCATTCTCAAATCCTTGATTGTTTGGAAGAATGAATCCTTGTAAAGAAGACGAGGAGGATTTCATAAATTTTTTGGTTTTAGACCAAAAAGAGATAGAGCGAGATGAGGGAGAATTACGTGATGCAATTGAACTCGAGAACTGTTTAGAAAGAAACGTTTTCAATTCAATCTTAGCAATTTTTCTTCTTGTTCTAACTATATTTTTTAAAGATAAATCACCAGTACGTTTTTGCCTGAAGGACAATGCTCTTGTATAAGACACAAGTAACGCTCATCCGATGGATTCGCTGACCCTTTTCTGAAAGAAAATTTCCTATGATTATCATTAAAAATAATCTTGATTTTGAATACATGTCAATAAAGGGAATCTAGACAGGTTCTACTCGTCATAAAATCTTGATCGAACATGGTTCATTTTTAATTTGAGGAATAAAGGATCAATCGCAGCCGTATATCTCATTTTTTGAAAAACTGACCTAATTCAAAGAGATTAAGGAGTTGTGCTGCTGCATATTCGAGAATTCTTACACTTTCAAAATAATCTGAGCAAAGTAACCTTAATATTCCTGAATCATCAGGAAAATTGATGTTATGAAAAAAATTGATTCTCTTTCCAAAGTGTATTCAGCAAGTTTAATAACACAACCAAACTGGGATATGTTTGAGATCACCTCGAAACATCATTATTTGACAGAAAGATATTCATTTAAAATGATATCATCCCAGACAGCTCCTAAATTTTTTAGAGTCGTACAATTGCATATCTATTCCAGCTCATACCAGAACAAACAAATAACGCCATGTTTGCATCGACAAGTCCTTTATTGAATAGGTCTTATCATGTCGAATGTATAATAAACATTTCTTTTTAATTCAAGAACCGAATCATTTAGCAATCTTTCATAAAACTCCAAATCTCACTTATTACACTTAGGATAAACCTTCAAAATCAACGTCTAGCCGTTTCTGTATTTAATCCTACTATTTCCTCTACTATTAGTACAGCTTAGAAGTTAAGGGGTGAATTTCTCTTAGAAAGATACTAGGTATTTGATACTATGATTCTCAAGAAGAAACTAAGGAAAGAAGAAGTTTGTTGTAAGCTATTACGAATAAAGTAAATTACAGTGTGCCATAGGAAAGATCTTCATCTACTTCGAATATTATTATACAGTTAAAATCTAGGACCATTTGACAGTAGGATTTCAAACAACTGCTCGTTTCTTAAAATTGTTTGTTTCAATTTAACCGAAAAATCCGATTATAGTTATCAACTAGGGTCCGGCGGGATAGGGTTTTTTACCTTAGTCTCGTTCTTGCGTATTAAAAGTGGTACCCGTGCTGGTCCCGTTTGAACCCGATTTTTCTGAATCTGCTAGAAATAGTTTTTAAACACATGTTTAACAAGTGAATACCTACACCTACCGGATTCAACAAAACAATTTCCTAAAAAACCTATTCTTTGAGTAAAAAAATGAGGGATAAAAAAATTCTAAAAAAATTGACCTCAGATTCTGATTCCCCGACCCTGATTACCTTTGATCTAACTTTATAAACAAAAAATTTTTTTTGTAAAAAAGTGGTCCTTTGTCTAAAAAATTGGTGCTTACAAAAATTTTCAAAAACTAACACCAGATTCGAATTCCTCGACCTCGATAACGGTATTCTTGTTGTTTTTTAAAATAAAATATATAGAATTTGCTACAATCTGATTGGATTATGCAAACAAACTTTAAGCATTTTAATGACCCTATTTAACGAGACTATAACCCTTTCTTTCAGAAAAAGGAATAGGAGTTATCAGTCGAAAAATCATTACTTTTTGAAGAGCTTGCTTTTGTTTTGGCAGACGTCACTCTTATGATCACCTTGAATTTCTACATAAATGTGCTAAAATCTTTTCGTCGTGCAACTTATTTTGATTTTTATATGACACTATCGATTTAAGGGTCTGGGTCTGAAACACTATAGCTGCTCACACAGACGCACACCCTCGCCTTAGAGATATTTGAATATTCTTCTAAACATGTGTTAATAACTTTAAATCGAAATTCTAACCGACTGTTTTCTATTGAATATATTTTATTTGCATATGAATCATCATCATCACCTTCTCTTTTATCCTTAGATACTGGCGACATATTTCATTCTCTGCAGGCTTCTTCATCCAACATCAATATTTTCTCATATTTTGAATAAACATACGATAAATAGATTTCAAAACTATGATTTTATATGACTTAATATGTGATACAGACAAGGGGGAAAGGACAAAATCTGGGAATTCCGGAATTCGTGGGAATCTCTGGAATCCGAAAGAATCATACTAACTCTATGATTCCAAGATTCAGTTATTCTCTCCTTGGATAGATATGTAAATAATAATAATATCTCTAGAATTACTTCAGAAATATTAGATAATTTATAATTAATGATCACGTTTGATTATGAAATTGGCAGAAGTTGTAGAGACCGAAATGAATAAGAAAATATTTTGAGGATAACCGTGTGAGTCAGATCAGTATGTACATAAAATGAAGAAAATATATTCACTCCCATCCCTTATTTAGAGCTACATATACAAAACGAAATGCTGGTTATAGTATATGCAAATATGTAGTTTATGGTACCACATTGTACATCGGCATCATGACAAATGATTAAATAGTACAGATGAACACTTTACAGAAGTTATTGTCTATTCAATGCAAAATCGCTACTCTTTCTCTCAATATTTGTTCACAATCAATGTGTTGGATTACCAGTCTGACTGAATACTAAACCATCTGATCTTTCATTTATTAATGGACTAATACTGTTCTCTTTTAGAGTATGTGACAATCAATCGATTTTCAGTCTCTTCAAACATTTTCAACCCTGAGGTACCCTCGAGGATCGAAAAACAATCAATTTACGCAGAACAGCAATTTTATTGCTGATCGATATTTGTTTTTTTGGTGAATGTCTAATGTTAATAAAGATAGCAGCATTTAATATCGGTAACGAGAAATGCAACTATAAAAGAATGGAGTTCAGAAGCAAGGTTCTTTTGGAGATTGTTTTCTCGTTTTAATATTAGGATGACAGATCATTTGTTCTTTCTCTACAGCTGCCCTATAGAAGTAAAAGTCAACATAAGTATGTTTTCGACTGTGAAAAGATATTTATATGGATGTTGTATTATGACAATTACTGCGTACTAAATAAGAAGCAGATCCACATTCGCACCCTTCGAAATACACCAGAATCAGTTTCTGTATCTATAATCAATTATAATCTTCATCTGTCTACCTATCTTTATTATCAATATATCAAAATTGACGCTTACAATTCTATATAAAAGAGATATAGAAGCGCGGAGAATAGCAAAGAAGTACAGAAAGAAAGAGGAGAACTGCGACCAGGAGTAGGATTAATTATATCCTCGGGTAATAGATATTCTAATTTGAATACCCATGCCCATCGACTTTGAAGTAAATGGAGTTCGACCTGCGACACATCGATGACAATACCACGAGTTCCACTAGCTACACGCCATGGAAGTGAATCACCATTTGAACCCAGCAGTCTCACAACTGTACTTGATGAACTCAAAGGAGCCCCAAGTATTATTTCTGTTGTATTCTTTGGCCATATCAAAAGAAAAGCATACACAAATTTACCATCATTTGATGATGTATACCTACAAATAAGAAAGTAAGAAACTTCTTCATATTTCTCTCTATCTAATTAGATTTACCAAACATCAGAATTTATTGTATCATTTTGATATTTCCATGGTATACTACCATAGATTCCTTCACCATTCACTTTCACCCATGAACCCATCTGTCGAAGACGCTCTTGAAATATTGGTGGTATCTTTCCATGCATATTAGGACCAACATTAATCAAAGCATTTCCTCCAGTACTAAACAAGAAAATAATAATAAATATCTTCTTGTCAACGTTTTCAAGAAAAAATAAAAATAACTTAATTGTAGTGACAACTTGTTTGAGTACTTCTTCAATTGTCATATAATCTTCAATATTAGCAATAGGACGATATGCCCAAGAGCTTTTATCAATCTATTTAAGTAAATCTTACAAACAAGAAATACTATGTTTTTTTTATCATACTGTGAAACAATTTTCCCATTTATGTTCGATTAAAATTCCTGGATTGTAACAATCCAAACAAGTATAGAAATCACCATGTTTACATAAAAGTTCACTACCCCATCGATCATTCACAACCTATTGAGAATCATCTCGACACTCTCTCATCATTAATCATAAAGACAATTTCTTTCTTACAACAGTGTCTTTCACAGGACTATCATTGTATAACCATGCTAAAAATCCAGTCGAATCCCAATAGGTATCACGTGGTTCTATAAATTCAATATAAATAGATTCGAACAATAAATAACTATCAATATGAACTAACCCCATTCACCATCTGACCAAACTATTTCAGGTTTGTATATTTCTACAGCTTCTTTTAGTTCTGGTATTGCTTTTGTCTATAAATACACACAGATCAATATTTTATCTCTCAAATATAGTAAAGCACTTACTTTTGAATAGTATTGAGTAGTAAAATTGTTAGATTTATCTCTTAGATACAATGGATTAAACCATTCGAACAATGAATAATACAAACCAAAAACAAGATTTGTTCGATTTCGAATAGCTGTAGCTAACTCTCCTTAGAAGAAGAAGAAGAAAAAAAGGGTATTTTGTTGAGAAAATAGAGATGAGAAAAGAAAGATGTTTCGAACCAACTAAATCTCGTTTTGGACCAACATCCATTGAATTCCAGTTAAATGAATATGTTGATGGCCACATAGCATACCCTTCATGATGCTATTTTTGAAAGTGAAATAAAAGAAAAGCAAAAGAATTTAATTACTATTGTAATATGAATGTAAACTGAAACTAACTTTACTAGTGAGAACAACATATCTAAGAGAGAGAAAGAAAGAGAATATGAAATAGTTGTGCATGTGAAGAATGAAAAGTATTGATTTACTTTGCACCAGAAGCAGCAAAGAGGTCAGCCCATTCATTTGGATCTAGAATGTAGAGGAATAATCGATGATGTGCACTAAAGATCTCATGAATAATTCTCGCTATAAAGATCTGCACGAAATTGTGGACCAAAATTTGCATAAGTCCAATCTGGTGGATAGTTTTTGTTCATATAATCAACAAGAGTTGGACTTGGATCGGTACCTTTCCAGTTCCACCACATCCTACAAATAATTCTTGTATATATTTATATATTTTGAGTAAGTCATAAGATAAACTCACCATTCGGAAGACATAGCTGGAACACTGTACAATCCCCAATGAATAAAGATACCTATTTTACTTTCATCATACCATTTAGGTAATGGACGTGTATCAAGTGATTCCCAATTAGGAGTGTATCGTTGTTGTTCACTCGTTTGTAGAAGTGAACAAGAGAAAAGAAGAATAAATACTAGTTTTACCATAGAATGACACTTTCTATCAATTTAAAAAAAGAGGAAAAGTTATCAAAAATGGTTAGGTAAAAGTTTGAAAATTAGATTGATCATGCTTCTCACATTATATATAGATCAATCTATGAAGAAAAAACTGTATCGTAAAAGAAATCTTTTGTTTCTGTTTTATAAACTCAAAATTGAGAGAATACAAGTTGTTCTTATCATTTTTATAATATGCTTTCAACCACAGAAGAGAAGAAAAAAAACAAGAGATCTTGAGTTATCTTTAGTGATTTATAAGAACAATTTATGATACACTTGTATGCAATTTGTAGAGTAATGAGTTTCAAGGTTTACAGATAGTTGAATAAATATGAAATGTTCTACTTTTGAATATAATATGATTATAGTTGTATAGTGTGATGAAGATTTTATGTTTGTAATATGGTGGAGAGAAGAATAGATATTAATGAATGATAAAGTTGAGTTGATGATATAAGAAAAGAATATTAGAATGTATTATTTGTTATTGTCTTCTTCTTCTGCTTCTCCTTATTTTGAAAATAAATGTATGTCAATAGTATATGAATGAATAGTCATATAATGAAGTATTTTATTTTTGAAGATCTTGAAAAAAAAAGAATGCTGACCTGAGTTGTTGAATTAATATATGATTTGTTTGAATGATATTTTTCTTGTGTTAGATAGAGAAGATATAAATAACATAAAGGTATGAGGTGAAATGAAAGTATATTGTTGAAAAAAAATGAATATGATAAAGATGTATATTTTAAGGTTAGCGATTGATTATATTATAACTATGAAATAGTATGATTCGAAAAAGCATGTTAAGTTGTATGATGGCGACTTTTGTTTATGTTTATAAAAAGCTGATATGTAAAATGTATAGAGAGAAATTTTGTTTAGAAAAATTGTTATATGATGATGTGGTACTAAAGTATACATAAAAGGAAGGTTCTAATGTCTTTTGGTATGGGTATGACATGAATATAACACCCACACTTATATTAACACTCTCACATATTCACATCCACCAAAGTTGGTACCGATCCGGATCGTTGGAATCACTCAGACCGACCGATCTTTGACGGTTTGGAAAAAATTGCAGATATATAGATTTCTCATCAGCATGATATTATTTTTACCTGAATAATGTATTTTTTACACTAAATAATGTGTAATCATCTTATATCAAAATGAGAATCCAATATTTTTAATTAGTAGTAAATATCTTTTCTAATAGTTTTTATTATTTATTGTGAAAAATGCCTTCATGAGTAAAATGTCATCATATATCAGGCATTCATTTGCTTTTCTCGTTTCTCTTTGGTATGAATCTGATTGTTTGTTTTCAATATACTGGGAACTTTTTGATTGACGATTTTGTGACTGGGAGTATGAATGCATCTTCTCTTAATTTTTATCCATATTTTAAAATATTTTTATTATATTTATAAGAATATAAATATAAAACTTCAATCCTGTAAAAATTTATTAAGAAATGAAAAATAATAGTGATGATTATGTTATGTTGTATAAATATAAACATACAAGAACATATATTTCCACATTTGAGTCTATAGGGTGTGGGTGAGTGTGGGTGTGGGTGTGGGTGGATGTAACTGAGAGTGTGCGTATGAAAATGAGGTCTATCTTCTTCAATGACTTCAAGAACACCCACATCCACCCTCTAGATTCGAATTCCTCGCATCGAAATACCTCGAAAACCGTTTTTTAGAAAAAATCGATATTA